GGAATTATAAGATATAATCTTATCACTCAAGTGGTATAAATAAAAATAATTTATAATAATTCAAATATAACAAAATCAAGCTAATCCGATGGACTTAGGATCCCCTCGTTTCACTTCGATATAGATTACTCAGACTTAGTGAATATGACTACAAACTGGATAGACTACCGGATTTTGCATTGGAAATTGATACTTTTCAGAGGCTACAAGATAATTTCAAGAAGGAAATCTATTTCATATTCTCAAGAACGAAAATAGTCAAACAGAACGGATCAACTAGCAAAATAGGTTAGGAACAGAGATTTTATTTTCTCCCATACAGCTTAGACATGGTCAACTAGAAATGCTATACGGAAAAATAACTCTTCTAACCACTATTTAATCTAGGGAAATGAACAGCTGACAAGAAAGAAAGAAAAATCAAGCTAACAACAGTATAACCAGAGCCCGCCCGTATAATTATTGGATTATAAGCAAAGCTAAAAAGTGATTTATTTGTGTTCATTTAATTTTACAAAATAAATTACTTGAAAGTATCATCATTAGGTAGACTCAGGAGCCGATCCAAACAAAATTTTCACTTGCGTTAATATATAAATAAATTCATAGATTATAGATAGATTTGAATCTGAGTTATGTTGGTTCATTGCTGCACTTTTCAACCGTATACACCATAAATAATAGATAACCATGCCTTACAAATTTAGTTTATATAATTTTACTAATATTAGTTGATCTCACTACCCTTAAAGTAGATTTGTCACTGGGTAGAGTCGAACCTTCAAATTCCAAAACCGATATCATTAGGACATCTCTAACGGTTATATAGTTTTCTCTTTCAAATAAGATAAACTTGAAATGAATTTGTTACTTTGATGCCTTTTTTTATTTTCTCTTTAAAATATAATATTTTAACTAGATTCTGTTATTATTAGTTATTGTCAATTTTAATAAGGCTTGTTATTTAAAAACTTATAAATTTTATCTATTTTTATTAGCTATATATTTATCATACATAAATTTGTTTCTAAAAATTATAAATTGATTTATATAAAATTATAATTATATATTATGAAATTTTTTATAATTTTAGAAAAGTATAGAAACAAAATATTGCTTTTTTAGATACAAAACAAAATGATACACATTCACAGATCAACTGTAATTTATAAAAAAAAACGTTTAACACTAAAATGATGTAGTGGATATTGTTTTTTCAAATTTTAAAGAATACTATTCATAAATCTGATTCTCACTCCGAAAAATATTACTATTGGAGACGGTTTTACCACTAAGACTATTGATAGATATTGTCTGGCTGCTAAAGTTATTAACTTATCGGTGGCTCAAAGCACCTTCTCGCGTTTCCTTCCAGGCCGCCTGGGATAACTCAACTCCTCGCTATATAGTTTCACATATCTCATCAAGTAATTTAAAGTGATAGATCATCATCACCATGTTCAACACCTTGCACCACGCTCTTGTTATTTGACAAGTTTTTTGAATCATTAGTTCTAGTGAACCATTTGTAAAGAAAATAGGTCATTAGACTTGTTGCCTTGTAAAAGTGTTGTTGTTCCATATAATCAACTCTTTCAACAAAACAAAGTTATTTATTCAAATAAAAATTATTGTAAAACGAGAAACATATATGATTTTTTTTTTTTAAATATCAAATAAACATGACACTAGTTACTTCTAAATTTATCGTGCATTCTTTTCCTTCTAGACATTTAAATAAGAAATACTAATTCCAAATCGATACACTATTATCTAAATGTTAACGCTTATATGATTCTGAATTTACTCCTTGTAAAGATCAACAACACATGAGTCCATGACCCATTTTTGCCAGCTTAATTATGAGCGAAACAAAATGATTTCAGTTATAGAAAAAAAAACAAAACAAAATGATTTATGTGCCAGTGCGATTTATTCTGTCTATCCTCAAACTTACCTAATTAATTTAAAAAAATAGAAAATTGGCAACAAATACCATGTTTTAATTATTTAGCCACTTATAAGCAGCCGTAAAAAAAGTTATAAGCATTAAAATACATTTTCTTACAAATTAATACACGTCAAAACGTTAGTAAACCGGTGGAAAAGTTCATTGGCTTTTGGGGTGCAAAACTTATTATTGGCTGGTATTTCCAGACTATAATTTACATGAATATTTTTTGTATAAACATTATTGTTGCTACTTATTGCTTTTATTGTCGTTGTTTTAAAATTTGGAGAACATATACATACTTTACAAGAATATATGTACATGAATGAATCTATTTATTTATGAGATCTGACAAAGATAGCACGTTACATGACCTGGAAATGGAACACGGTTTCGTGGAAACTAGAAACCACAATAAGGAGACAGCCGCAAAAACAAGATTCAACGGCACAACGAACCTAAACTAATATAGTACTACTAATCTTCTCTCTTAAGCTTGATTAGATCTCTGATTGCTTCCAGTTACACTCCGTTCAATTAAGACGAAAGTTCCATTAATTTTTTAAGTATTTACTAGATTTTGACCCGCGCTTAAAAGCGCGGAAATTTTTTTATGATTTAAAATTTAGATAATTGGGTTTTTGTCTTAATTTAAAGAATGTTTTGTTATAAAATCAGCTCACCAAAATCTGTGGTGATGATTGTTTTTCATTAGTATTTAGTTTCAATTTTTATTTTTAGATTTTGATTTTTTTTGTTTTAATTTTTAAATTTTGATTTCATCTTTTGGTTTGAGTTTTTAATTTTTAGATCCGCTGAGTTAGTTTGAACTGATATTACCCAAATTTTTTATGATTAAAAATTTATATAATTGGGGTTTTGTCTTAATTTAAAGAATGTTTTAGTATAATCAGTTCACCAAAATTTGTGGTGATGGTTATTTTTTATTAGTTTTTAGTTTCAATTTTGATTTTTACATTTTGTTTTAGATTTTGATTTTTTGGGTTTTAATTTTTAAGTTTCTATTTTTGATTTCAGCTTTTGGTTTGAGTTTTTAATTTTTAGATCCGCTGAGTTAGTTTGAACTGATATTACCAACAAACAAATCTCAATTAATCGAACATGTAATTTAAAACTGAAAAAATGACAAAAATAATTTTCTAAAATCTTTGAAATAGTTTATTTGTAATAAAAAAAGAAAAAAAATATAATTCAAGCGCATAAATTTTTTATGATTAAAAATTTATGTAATTGGGTTTTATCTTAATTTAAAGAATGTTTTGGGATAAAATCAGTTCACCAAAATTTGTGGTGATAGTTGTTTTTCATTATTTTTTAGTTTCAGTTTTTCTTTTTAGATTTTGTTTTAAATTTTGGTTTTTGGTTTTTAGTTTTTAAGTTTCTATTTTTGATTTTCAGCTTTTGGTTTGGGTTTTTAATTTTTAGACCTGCTAAGTTAGTTTGAACTGATATTACCAACAAAAAAAACTCAATTAATCGAACATGTAATTTAAAACTGAAAAGATGACAAAATAATTTTCTAAAATTTTTTAAATAGTTTATTTTGTAATAAAAAAATAAAAATATAACTTGCGTTTTCAGCTTTTGGTTTTGGATTTTAGTTTTTAGATTTGGTTTTTGGTTTTGATTTACATTTTTTAAAATTTGTAAATTATTTAAGAAAAATAAAACAATAAATTATTTAAAAGTTACCATTAAAATTTATCAAGATAGAGTGATTGTTATTTAAAATAAAAAATATTAACATGTTAAGTACATGATTTAAATAAGTGATTAATAATAAATAATGTTGAAAATATTAAATATTTCTGGGCTAAAAATATTAACATAAAATATTAACATGTTTTAAAGTACATGTTAAATATTTTTGGGCCTGAAAATAGTAATTGATTTTTGATCCATTAAGATGGAAAGTTTATTTAATGTTTTTTGGAGTTTTTCTTTAATACTAAGCCCAAAAACAAAACAATTAAATGTCATAAAAACAAAAGTAAGCCCAAAACTTTATTTTATAAATAACCGCCGGTTTAATTTAAGTAATGCAGTTCAATTAATTATATAATTTGTAATATTTGTAACACTCTAAAAAGGGTCCAAATTTAAATGATAACTTATATCAGTAGATAAAAAGAATGACTCTATTTTAATAGAATAGATTATTTTCTTGTAGTAAAACATTCGCAATTTTAGGAAATTTCGTAAGTACCACTTTTAAAATAATGGTCCGACTTAGTGGCTAAGTATAGACATAGAAATATAATCATTCGGTAGTTAGTTTATTCAAAACATAATTGCATTTCCTTCCTAAAAGATTGCTTAGACGTCATAATTTGTCCAAACTTTTTATTTCGCAGCAGCAAGAAGTTTTAGTATCTATCACATCAACATTATATAATATCGAAAACTATTTTCACAAAAAAAAAAGAAAAATAAAAAGATATCTAAACGTACACATTTCAAGACTGAAAACTTGAAACTAATAATGAAGTTGTAAGCAACGAAAATACTAAAGAGGTTGGAAGTAAATAAAATATGTCTTTAAATAAAAAAAGCATAACAGACAAAATAAATAAAACAAACAAAAAGCCTTAATTGTGAAACAAAACGGCTAACACAGCTAAGGTATGGTCCGCGTACAGCGGTGACCCACTTGAACTTATTTGTAAAGTTTTCCTTGTTTAATATTTTTTACAGAAAACACTAACATCCTTTTTCAGATATAACAAATATTTTCTTTACACTTTTAATGGCCGATTTAAAAGCATGATTTTAAGAAATTTTAGTACTATTGAAGAGAAATTTAATTTTCTTAAATTAATCATAAAAACTAACTTTAATAATATATAAATAAAAAATAGCTTAGTCTTTTTGCACTAAATGGCAAATGCCAATCACGTAGGATAATTAATGTATTTATTCTTTTGGGTAGAGGGCAAATTGCCAACAGCAAGCAAAAGATGCACACTTTTGTGTGTATATATATACCCACACAATCATTTCAAGAACCAGTACCAACCAACACTAGAGAGAAAAAAAAAGAACACATCAAAACAAAATAATCCCATCTCAAATCTCAGATAAAACCACCAGTTTCTCAAATCACAGAGATTCAAAATTTTCCAGAGTATCTATCAACCATCAATGGCGAATTCATGGAAGAAGAAAACCAGTAGAAGCTTAATAACGCATAAAGCATGGAGTCTTGTGAGGATGGCTCTTCTATGGGCACGAAAAGGTGGAGTTTTCAAAAGATGGCCTTTGCTTGAACTACGTAACTTGTTCTCCAAGCATCTCAAAGCCCTAGCTCATCATAACAACAGTGACCGTTATCTTTCCCGTTACGGAGAACGTGAGCTTTCGTTTGATGAAACACCGTTGTTTAACGTCAAGAAGAAGACGCATCGTCCTACGTCTATGAGGTTCCTCCTTCCCTGCATTGGTAATCCTATTGAATTTGATTATGAGTTTGGTATGGACGGACAAGATTATTCAGATGAGGTGAGATCGTACGGCTACGATGAGTCTAGTGTGGAAGAGTGTGATCGTACGGATAAGGATGATGAGGAAGAAGAAGAGAAGGGGGTTGATGTGAGAGCAGAGGAGTTCATTGCTAAGTTCTATGAGCAGATTAAGTTGCAGAGGCAAATCTCTTGTATGAAATACAGAGAATAAGGATAATTATTTATGGATTATTTTTTTTAATTTTGATGGATGATGCTTATTATTTATTTATTTATATGTATGATTGCAAGTTGTTTTTTTTTTTTTGTCAACTAACTTGTTTTTTTTTGTAGATACTTGAAAGTCCGAGAATTTTCATAGATGTTTCACTATTGATCTTTTTGATTTGCCTGAACTTTTCTTCTTCTTTAAATTGCCTAAATTATGCACCAGAAAAAAAGATTGCCTAAATTCCCTTTTAGTTTTTTTTTTAACAGTTCCCTTTAGTATATAATAAACTGTTAAAATTTGTTATAACAAAATACGAGCTGCTCTTGAAGACAAAGGTTTCCTCGTCTTTTTCCGGCGCGTGGTGGCGCGTCCACCGATGCTGGCGCGTGGTGGCGCGTCCACCAACGCTGGATTTCGTTTGTCTCTCTCTTTTTGCCTCTCACCAGTCCTTCTCTCCCTCGTCGATATGCTCGTTACCCTGGGGACGGAAGACCTCCGGGTCGCTCAGATCTGGTCGAGATGATTCCGTCCTGGATACCTCGATCTTCTTTTATGGTGTAGCGGCGAGGTGTTATGAGCTATGGTGGTTCAGTGGGCGGGGATCGGTTTTTTCATCGGCTTAGGGTTTGGAAATCCAATTTTTCCCTTCTCATGAGTTCCAAAACCTAGTGAAGGCAGTGTGTGAGGACGTGTTCTGGTGTATCTGGTGCTCTTTAGAGAGCTTGGAGTTCAGATTCGTTCTCTCGCCAGTTCTCCTTTGCTTTTGCTGTTTTGTGGTTAAAGTTGTGACCTTTTCAGTCCGGGTACTCTTGGGTTAGAAGTGGGATTCCCTCATCACCTTCTTGATCTGCTTGGGATGTTTTGCTAGTTTCGAATCTGTTTTCTGGTGCGTGGTTTAGGACTATGCCGGCTCTGATGTGGGAGCCTTATCTCACCACTAATAAATTGGACCTGCTGCGCTTTTATGATTATTCTGGCATCCGTTATCAATTGGCGTTACTTCATTATCAATTGCTTATGTGTTCCATGCGATCTTAGTGACATTTTCCTATCTTTGGTTACATATAATTAGGTTCTTTCTTTGGTGGTTCTATCTCTGGCTCCGAGAGGGTTTGTTTACCTCTTTTTTTTTTGTTTTTTTTGAATTAATGTTAAATTTATTCAAAAAGCCTTATTTCATCATATGCAATTCTTTTTACTAGATTGTCTCTAGTGTTTTTCCTTCAACTCCTATTACATTTTAATAGAAAACCAAAACTGCATGAGATTCTTAGCTCTACTCTTACTCAACAACGTAATTCTGTTCCGGATGCTCTTGTCAAGCATCTTGCACATGACTGGGATTGGCATCAGCTTCTCTCCATGCCTGGCTTTATTTCACTCATACCAGATTGCATAAAGAACAACCTGAAACGCATAGCGAATACAAAATCTACTCATTCTCTCCCTTGTCTCATCAGAGATTAGCTCCACAATATCCTGCCAGTCATTTGTGAAGGAACTCCCAAGTATCTCTTTAGCAATGAACTCCCAGATTTGGCACGAGTAATCACAAGCAAAAAACAGATGACTTCTTGTTTCATCAGCTCTTTTGCAAAGGACACACTCCTTATCATTACTTTGACTCCACCGAGCAACTCTATCCAAAGTAGAAAGCCTATCCCTCATTGACAACCACGTTATGAACGCATATTTAGGAGTAGCTTGAGTAAACCAAATAGCTTTTGTCCAAGGATATAATGGCTTATCATCCCTTAACAACTCCCAAGTTTCACGCGTAGAAAATCTTTGCTTGAAACAGACTTACCCTTCCAAAGATTAGTATCATTCTTTTCAGAACTCAACTTTCCTGCAATCATACTTAACTCAGCCTCAATGTCATTAAGCAGAGCCATACGATGCTTCCTCCTTCTTCTTACAGCAGTAACCGCATCCTCCAAAGTTGCTTCTCTTCCCACACCCATTTCAATAATCCCCCGAGGACCCAGCAAATCAAACAAACCTCCTTTAACAGACCAATTGTCAAACCAGAAGGAGACATGTCTCTCATTACCAATCTCACGCCTAAAAAACAGTTTAGCAAGCTCTCTCATCTTCAGCATTTTACGCCACATCCAAGAACCATTTGAACAACATCCAACTCCCAAACCCTTTTCCCTTTAAGTAAGTTCCTACTAATCCACTTACTCCATAACGATTCTCCCGACAGAAACCTCCAAATAAGTTTTAGACCATTGACTTTATTCACTTATTTCAAGCTTCTAACTCCCAATCATCCCTCCATTTTCTTATTACAGACTTCTGACCAAGCTACCTTAGCACTATTAGCTTTTAAACTCGAGCCGGTCCAAAGAAACGCTGAGCAGATTTGCTCAACTTCCTTCACACAAGCACTAGGTAGCCGAAAAGCAGCAGACCAAAAGTTGATGTAGCTCATTAAAACAGAATTTATAAGAAGCAATCTTCCCCCATACGACAAGTACCTGCAAGTCCATGTACTTATTGTACTTCTAACTCTTTCCACCATTGGCAAGTAATCTTGCTTTCTCATACATTGGGTCATCAAAGGAAGACCTAAATACCTCACCGGAAAGTCCCCTTTCGCAAATGGAAAGTTTGTCAATATACTACACTTCTCAGCCTCACCAATCCCAGCCATATAGATCGTAGACTTTTCCAAACTGATCTTTAATCCTGACCAAGATTCAAACACTTCAAATACTGAGAGAGCACCTTCAACTGACTTCTTAGACCCCTCAACAAAGACCATAAGGTCATCCGCAAAACAAAGATGCGTTAGAGAGAGACTCTTACAACCCGGGTGAAATTTAAACTTTCCCTGCACCACTGCTCTATCAATCTTCATGGACAAGACATTCATACATAGTACAAAAAGGTATGGGGATAAAGAACAACCTTGACGAAGTCCTCTATAGCTCTGGAAGTACCCAGCGAGATCGCCATTGACCTGTACTGAGAAAGAAGGGCTTGTAATACAGAGCTTGATCATATGAATAAACTTCATCGGAAAACCCAACACACCCAAACTCTTCAGCACAAAGTCCCACTGCACTGAATCAAACGCTTTGGAGATGTCAATCTTCATTAAGAACCTTGGCGACACACTGTCCGAATGATAATTCTTGACTAGTTCAGTAGCAAGAAGGACATTTTCCATGAGCAACCTCCCTTTAACAAACGCTGATTGAGACTCAGATATAATTCTAGGGAGAAGCACCTTAAGACGGTTGGCCAGGATTTTAGAAACAATCTTATAAAGGACATTACAGCAAGCAAAAGGGCCGAAGTCTTTCATCTCCATCGAATCCACTTTCTTGGGGACCAAGGCAAGAATGGTAGAATTGATTCCTTGGGTAAAAATTCGAACCAAAATACTGACTGCACCGCAACAGTAAAGTCATGTGAAATAATCTGCCAAGTGGATTTGAAGAATTCACAAGGGAACCCATCTGGTCTTGAAGACTTTTTGCTTGGCATGGCAAAGAGAATCTTCCTTATCTCCTCAGCAGTAACATCAGCTTCAAGAGATTGACACTCTGCCATTAACAACGAAAGTTAAGCAGATGCTGCAATTCCTCCTCAGAAACACCTTGGTAACTCTCAGGAACAAGATTAAGAAATTTAGAGAAAAATTCCTCATCTTCTTTCTTAATCTCCTAGTGTTTATTCACCACTCTCCCATCCACACATCGAACTTCTTTAATAATATTCTGAGCATACCTTGCCTTAATTGCTCGATGAAAAGTCTTGTTATTTTTATCACCAACATCCAACCAATGTAGCTTTGACCTTTGCTTCAAAAAGTCTTCTTCTAGACTAGCCACATATATCCACTTCCCATAAGCATATGCCTCCTCTTGAACAGCTACATCACAAGGGTTAGAAAGAGTAATACATTGCTTCTCACACAACAAATCAAAAGCCAACTTCGTGTGTTTTGTTAAATTACCCAAACTCTCCCTGCCTAGCTCCCTGATCAGTGGCTTCAACTGTTTCAGCTTTTTTGAGAAGCGAAACATCGCAGAAGTCGAATGAAAAAGACTATCTGTAGTATCCCATAAACTATTAACCTTAGGAAGGAAAGTAGATATACTACTAATGGCATTTACATACTTGAAAGGACGCCTAATCTTCTCAACTGGAGCAAATAACTGAACTTTGCACCGTAGATGATCAGAGCACCCTCCAGCTTCAAAAATTGAGTAAGAGTTAGTGAATCTTCTCTGACCAACTTCATTTACCAAAACTCGATCCAACTTTTTACAAATAACTCCATCATCCCTCTTATTGCACCAAGTATATTCAGGGCCTTGGAATGCCATATCAGTTAAATGACATCTCAATACCAACTCCTGAAAGTCTCTTGTACCACTAGAGATCCTACCAATACTTTCAGCTCTCGAAGTCTCATCACCATCCAAAATCTCGTTAAAATCTCCCATAACAATCCAAGATTTATTACGGAAACTCGGAGAATCACAGTGATAAACCAGATCCTCCCATAACCTTTTCCTTCCCTTAATATTATTACTAGCATAAACCCCTGAACAATAGAACTCTTCCTCGCCTTTGATTTCCACAAGACAAGTTATTATTTGGTCCGATTTATATACCGGAGAAACACAGACTAAATCCCTCCACAAGAACCAAATCCTACCACCTTTACTATCTTCATAGTTGGAAATAGAAAACCAACCATGAAAAACCTTATTTAAAATCTTATCTAACTTGCCTTCCTTCACCCTAGTCTCTAGAAGACAACCAAATCTCATCTCTTTATTCATTACTCACTCAGACACAATGGAATGCTTCAACTCTTTATTGAACCAATGAAAATTCCAGAAAAAGCAAGCCATTATTAAAGTTTACGTCGAGAAGACCTCTTACTCTTCAGTTGAACCTCAAGAGCTTTAGGCTTCTGACTCCTCTTCCCCCCTTTTGCAACATTTGCTTGTCTTTCTCCTTGGACTTGTGATTTAAAATCTCATCTTCTAACATATCACTCTCCAGATCATCATTTAACCCGAATTCTCCTGGCTCATCATACACTGTCTCATCACCAACTGACTCATTTGTTTCTATATTCTCAAGATCTTCCTCCTCATTTACTGCTAGAACCGAATATTTCGATGCTGAAATGAGAATTTCATCAGTATCTCTAACTGGCGTATGTGCTCTACCAATCTTATCTAAAGCAACACTAGACCAGTCTTCTCCTTTTTCCTCAACATTACCCAAATCATTCCTTTGTACATCCAAAGGAAGAACTGGATCCTCATCCTTATTATTCACCATTACACTTTCCTTAACCTCAGCCTCGTTAATACCACTGCTCTGTCCAACCTCTTTCACATCACTTTTAGACACATTTTTCCCAACTCCCACCTTTGAGCCTCGCTTCTTCAATCCACATGTCTCCTCTTTATGCCCCCATTTCTCACATTTAGCACAACGAGCAGGCAACCATGGATAATAAAACTCAGCAGTAAACTCAACACCTCCCAAAGTAAAATCAATTTCCCTTGGTAACTGTTTTGTCACATCAAATTTGATAAATACTTTAGCTTCCTCAAAGTCAGAACAAGCTATAGAATCTGGATGAAGACTGACAGGAAATCCCACCACACTAGTCATAAAGTTGAGTGCCTCCCAAGAAAAAGTGTGAAGTGGTATCTTACGAAGGTGAACCCACATTGGTATAGCCTCCTCCTCGGGAGTATCTTCTTCTGCCTTAGGTGTCCACTTCTTCACCACCATTGGCACCCCCGCAATGTTCCACATCCCTCTTTTGATGATCTATTCCGGAGCCTTAACATTTGCAATCCTAAATCTCATTGTTTGCCCATCCACGTCGTAAACTTCCACCTTAGAGCTTGAATCCCCGTATTTCCAAATCTTATTCACCACCATGTGAACCTTGGCTATATGAGGCGCAAGATCCCAAAACTTTCCAACCACAAATTCTTCCCATAATGGAGTAGATTCCGATAAGATAGCATCCGGAATCGAAACCTTTTTCTTCCCATCCTTAGTAACTATTTCAACCTCATACTTCTTCAAAACCCTTTTATCCATCGCTCTCGATGCCCAACTCGGAATCGTCTTTTCCAAATCCACATCACTAGAACCCTTTCCCATACCAGATCCACCTTCATCGACCTTATGAACCGCCGGAGAATCAGTCGATGAGCTCGGCTGAAGCGCCGAATCCATCGCGAAAAAACAAACCAAATCGCCCTCAAAATCGCCTACAGAGAGTTTTATCAAAATGGTGCGTTTCGCCCTAGATTCTTTTTTTTTCTTTACCTCATCGGTTTCTGACTCCAGGAAGGTTTTATATCTTTGCTGGCTTTGTGTAAAACTTTATTCAGGTTATGATTAATCTATCAGATGACAAAAACAAAAAAAAACAAAATACGAGCTGTTCTTTTTTTTTTGGACAAATTTCTTTTTCTTTTCAGTCTGGTGTTATATTGTATAAAATAATATACTCTTAAGGACCAAGAGGACAATCATTATGAAGCAGAGTATAAGTAGTATATGTTCGCACATTTCGCCATTGTTCTTCTATTTGTGTTGTCTCCGCCTATATTCAACTCATCTTGAATCTCTTTTATTATGGCAGATATTAACTTAAAATTGTAACTCAACCACAACACATTTGATAACTTACACATAAATTCAAAACTAAAATTAGTGCATGATTGATGATACTTTTGAGTTATTTATGAATTAGAATGTGCTACCAATCAAAGCCAAAAATATACAGCCTTAGTAACTTTTTCTAAGCATCATAGTTTCTTAACCTAAACAGAAGCGCAATTGGAAACAGGTTGCATGTCACTTTGGAACAATAAATAAAGCTGTGTGAGTTCATCTCTTTAAAAATTCCGTCAATTTAAAAGGAAGCCTAGTCTTTTTATTATTCTTGCATGCCACAAACAAACTCGAGCTTCAGAATAGAAAAAACACGACTATGAGGAAAAGGGTTTTGAGAAGGGGATATAAAGGGCATATTGTTGCGGTGATTTGAAAGAAAAGCGTATTTGAAGACTGAAACACAGCGAAATGCTGACAAAACTAATGTCAAATGTTCTCATATTTGTCGCAAAGAAAGTCTTCTGACAAAGAAGAATAAAAAAAACCATTGCAAAACTATCTGCTAAAGAAAAGTCACTAACGAACAAAAGCTTATTCTTCTCACTTCTTGGACCTTTTCGCTGGAACCCTGCGAGAACAAACAATCCAATGCAAGAGTTTAGAACGTCACCACAAATATAATAACAGTTCAGTCAATTATCATGAAATAATCAATACTTACTATGCTTTTTAGACACGTGGTGCGGCGGCAGGTACATCTCCTCCTCCAGGACCCTGAAACAAAAACCATAGTAAATGAAAAAATGAATTCACTAAACCACATCATATATACAAGTATAAGAGCTCACCTTGGCAAGTCTTTCCTCTCTTCGAGCATGCTTCCTCTCTCTACTAGCCTTGTTCTTAGCCCTCTTGGCCTCAAACTGATCAGACAAAGTCTTCTCCCTAGCCTTCTCAGCCTTGGATTTATGAATACTCTCCATCAAAACGCGCTTGTTCTTGAAAACGTTTCCCTTCACCTTCATGTACATGTCATGGTACATGTGCTTGTCAATCTTCTTGGACTCTCTGTACTTCTTGAGAAGACGCCTCAACACTCTCATCCTCCTCATCCACAACACCTTAGTCGGCAACCTTGCCTCCCTAGTACCCTTCCTCTTACCTTAAAAACCATTACACAACAATATAAAATGCATTGCATTAATTTAATGTAACCAAAAGTTAAAGGTAAACTAAACCAAATGGTTAATAATAAACCAGTATCTAATAAACAGCAACATTAATGATATTTTAAAGATTGTGAGAGTACATACCGTAACCAGAGTGACGTCCCTTCATCTTGGCGATCTTCATACGGCGAGCTCTGGAGCGTGAGTGGATCTTAGTTGGCTTCCTGATGATGAATCCATCCTTCACTAGCTTCCTTATGTTTTGGCCTATACACATACATAACTAACAGTGTAAACCATGAGAAAATAGTGTGTGATGACTCAGTAACCCTAGCTCGTGAAATGAAACAGATTCAATTACACATCATTCAACGAATCAAGCTATCATCAAACTATGAATAGACGCAAAATCCGTAACAATCAGGAACCCTAGCTTTATGAAATCGTGGAATCGAGCTCAATTGCATCAAATTCGATTCTAGGAATCAAGCTAATGACCATTAAAAACACAATGAAAGTGAAGAAGAACGTACGAGAGTTGGCCATGGCGATGTCATTGCCTTCGTTAGGATCGAGCCATACTTTGCCCTTTCCGCACTTCATCACTGCGGCTGCGAGCCGCTTCTGTTGCTTCAACGACACCATTTCGTTTCGCCTCTCCCTTCTCGAACGACGATATTTTTATATATACTCTCTAGGGTTGCTCTTCTCGCCAAAAACCCTCTCACTGCTAATCGGGCCTTTAAATTAAGCCCGTTAAAGGCCCATAAATGAATTACATTCGTTTGGTTTTAGTCTTTTGCTTCATATAAGTGTTTGAGAAATTGGGAGCCATACCAAAGAACTTCAGCGTATATAGCTGAATACCAAAACCGAGAAAGGACGCAACTGTTTCAGTATGTAATTTGACTCTGATACCCTTTCCAAAAGTTATCATCTCTCCTGACCTGACCGTAAATCGTAAGCGTGAAAAACAAATCTTATAGCTAGATACGCCGGTTTCGTATCTTCTCTGTCAGATAACTTGTTTTCTTCGAGAAATTGGGAGCAAGAATTTCAAATTTTGAAACCGCATTATATTATAACAAAGAAAATGTTTTTCTTTCAAAAAACCTCTCTGAAAAAACAGTGGGATTCTTTTCTCTCAAAAAACCTCTCTAAAAAAATAGTGGGGATTTTCTAAGCTAAGAACGCTATGGCTGATCGTGATGAAAACCCGACGCCACCATGTCTTCTGCCGGAAAGATTTTTTGCCGCCGGTGAAGAACCCGTAGGTATTAGGGTTACTCCTTATCACAAGGCGGGCGCTATTAGACAAATATTGAATGCTCTACACCAAGACGAAGTCGAAAAGATTAGGGTTTCTCCTTTTGGGAAATTGATTGAAATCGCCGAGAAACCAAGCTTCTCAGGCAGATTTGGGAGGTTTATCATTTCGCGACAACTTAAGGTTGCAAGGAAGCATGAAGCATGGTTCTTGTTCGCCGGCAAACCAATTAAGTTTTCTATCAGAGAGTTCGCGTTGGTGACGGGTCTCAACTGTAGTAAATTACCGAAACGCTGCAAGAAGAAAGCTCCCGAGAACTTCATTACGAAGAAACCATACTGGATTGAGCTTTTTGGGTCCCTTAAAGACATACCGGTGTCCACAGTCGTTCGGATGCTGGAGAAGAATACTGTTGTTGACCCGGAACTTAGGTTAAAGTATGCCTACCTGTCTCTTCTTGCTGCCGTTTTACTTCCGACGACACATACACCGCGCATTTCCCAAGGATGCGCCGAAAATATTGAAAATTTGGATGAGTTCTTCGCATATCCCTGGGGGAGGGTGTCCTTTGACATGCTGATGTCGAGCATAAAAGAGAGGAAGGAAGTTTCACTGTCGCAAAACACCATAGCTCTTAAAGGATTCGTACTTGCCCTTCAACTCGTCATGATCGAATGTGTTCCTGCGCTTACAGAAGTTGTTCAAGAGGGAAGTTCATCTGGGGAAGATTATGCATCAGAGAGTGAGAAAGGAGTGAGAAAAAACATTAGCCCAGGCCACGCTCGCGACATTGATTCGGCAGGGAAGGTATTTAACCATATTATAGACTATCTTTAAGAGAGCTTCTAGTATTATACATTATTGTTTTGTTGGTCCCCACCACTTACAAGTAATTTCTTTATGTTTTCTTTGGTCTCAGGCGCTAGTGCAGTCGATAATGTTGGATGATAATGGGGAGATGAATGTGGATCCTGATTTCCAATATTCGGATGACGAAGACGATGCACGTGTCTCTAATATGGTTAACCTAATCGATCAGCAGTTCCCTTTCGTCTCTGGATATTTTGTTGGCGGGTCCACCAAATATGATGTTAGTAGGATGCAGACAGAGACAAAAGCTGAATTGGTTAACCGCAAGGCAGGGAAAACAAAACCGAGTACATCTACTCCTGTCCACGATGGCGTAGATCTCGATTTGTTGGCCTGTATTATGAGAGAAAAGATGCAGGAGGAGCTCCAGCTTCTTCATCGTAGTATAGCAGGGATTCATGAATCAGTTACTGGCTTCACGAACACGGTCCTCTCAAATTTCAGTGGGTTGTTTGAGATGGTTGAGGATAGTGTTGCGAAACTCTCGTCCCTTTCTGGAGATATCCAAAACCTGGCTTCATTGATTCCTCAAGGTCCTATGGAGAGATCTAACAACCGGCCCAATGTTGCTGACGCCTCTGGCCAAACAATTCTGTATACATCAACCATTATCTCTGAGGCTATTAAATTTGCTAACAAGACAACAGAACCCACTGCATATGTAAGTTTGTTGTTAGACTCCTTATGTTATATATAGCCGGTTACAAATTAATTTGATGTTGCTTACTTTTAATCATTATTAGGGCGGGACCATCGGCGTTGATGGTCTTTCTGGTTCCGGCGTGAATAACACTGACTCTATCCCGCCTGAAAATCAGCCAGATGGCTCCTTTACTGTTCAAACAGAGACCTCCGACGTGATGGTATGTTAGTATATTAAGACTCTCTCTGGGAACATACAGTTCTAAAATTTTCTCTGTTATTATGTACTATCTCTTACTAATTTATCAGTTTGTTATCTGTGTGCAGAATCTTGATCCGGGGTTGTTATTCCCCAACCCAACCTTCTCGCTAGGCCTAACTCAAGAGGCCGCTGCAGAGGTTGCAAAAAAGGCTGCAGACTCTGCCATACCAGAACAGGGAACCGGCGATGAAGAGCTTCTCGAAACAACCATTGAGGAAGGTGGAAATGGGTGTAGGAAAAGCAAGAGGCAGAGGGTTCCTACGAAGTCGCTGATGGGTGAATACCAATGTGATAAGGCGTTTCTGAACCGTGCAAGACAGGCTCTAGCCGATGCGATTTACAAAGGAGGTGACATTGATTACGCTGCAAAAAGTTTGCTTCTCTACTTGACAAGATGAAGACGAACTTGTAAGCTAACATTCACGATTTAAAGAGCAGTTTTAGAAGTTATCTTTGGTGTATAGTATTAGCCGGCTAACCAGATTTCTCTTATAAACCTGGTTAGCTCTATACCAACTGAAAGGGGTGATATCGCCAGCAAGGACCTCTATGAGGTCATACAGAGGTCAAGCCAAATACCTACCAAGGTTTGTTTGATGACAGCCATTCTGTTCAATATAAACGTGATATTTTTATTGGTTTTCGTATCACTGAACTGTGTTGGTTGTGCATGTTTTCAACATGTTATGGATGTTCTAATGATGCATACCAGTACTTTGTTCAAGGTTAGATCGACGCAGACCGAGAATCCCAGTTGCTTGTTTCTGGACACACAGTTCGTGTCCCAGTTCATGAAGTTGTACACAAAGTTCGCAATGGTCACCAAAAAAGAAACCTTTACCTTCAGTCCAAATGTTGTCCAATTTCTTCACATTCCCCCATCTCACTCCGAAGTTAGCCGTTTCTATTTTCCCTTTTATCTGGACAAAAAGTATTGGGTTGGCATATGTGTTGATTGCAGCAGTTGGAGTGTCACGGTCCTGGACTGCAACAATGGCCTTCGCACAGACTACATGATGAACAAAGAAGTAAGACCAATAGCTTTGATGTTTCCATATCTTCTGAAACAGTCTGGAAGACAGGTTGGAGAAAGAGAGTGCAAACCAATGGCCATCGATAGGCCCCGGTCCATTCCTCAGCAAAATGCTATTATGAGCTCTTTCGTGTCCACAGTGCTGTTTATCCAAGCCCACGATGTCGGTGGAGTTGATGCGTGAAAATGCATTACCCCAGATGTTCTGGACAGTCAAGTGGAGAGGATTGTGGTCTCGCTCTATGAAGCTTCAGTCGGTCCCCTTTGAAGAATTTTAAACAAAATTGATGTGTTGCTGGTTAATAACGTGTACTTTATGTTGTGCTGTGACTGAATTTCTGCTACCAATTTGTTTTTGAATTTCTGCTACCAATTTGTTTCTGTTATTGGACTTGTATGGGGTTTGCCTTTTACATTGAGCAAATTAGTTATTAATTGTCAGTGTAACCATCCAAATTGATTAATAGCTAGATATTATAGTTAAGGGTCGTCCACATTATAACAAGTTTTAATTTTTTTTAGCTCTCACGGTAACCATCCAAAATCATTATTAGCTAGATATTGCATATGGTGATCGTCCAAATGATAACAAGTTCGTTTAATTCTCATGAAACCAAACCGTGTCGTTTTGGGTACAAAATTTTACTGTACAATTAGGGCTACTCTCGGTATATAACTGAACTCCATTAACCTAGCTTAATTCTTGTAGCCGTTTTTGTTCTCTGGTCGGATAGCTGTGTGTGGAGGGTCACTGTTTTGAGAGAATAAAGCTCCGTCTCACGTATATTGCATTCAATCCACTATATATTTATATACATATCTATGTATTAGATGTTTCAATCTTGAGCTGTTCTTATGCTAGGTTTTCGAGATGGCTATGGAAATTGGGCCCGACATTCCTCGTAGGTGTCCTTGCGGGGCCTTGTCCGTTGTACTCACTTCTAAAACCAAAGAAAACCCTGGAAGAAGATTCTACAGATGCAGTGTCGTTTTTGGTGAAAATCATCTTTTCAAGTGGGCTGATGAGGCACACGTTGAGGAGATCGAGTCTTTGGCGGCGAAGCAGGCGGAAATGGCCAATGACCTCACCGAGATAAAGGATCAACTGTTGGATCTGAAGAAAGACATCACAGAGATCGTCGAAGTAGTCGCCTCTTTATTCAGGAAGCTCTGACTGCGGTTGGGCACAATCCATTTGGGGACCTTTGTTCGGACGATGAATCATCTTAGTTTGCTATTTTTAATCTACATCTTTGCTCTCTGTAAAGTTTGCTAAATATGCAATGTAAACGTTTAACCAGCCAATGTAAAGTTATCCCTGTCAATTTCAATGTTAGCTGGATATTGAAAACAACTACTATAACGAATAATGAATAAAACAATTATCAAGTCCACTAGGTAGCTATATTTCCAATGGTCTTGGGTTTGGTTTTTAGAGTTTTTAGTGTTTACTATTTAGTGTCTAGTTTTAATGGTTTATTGTTTAGGGTTTATGGTTTAGGGTTTAGGGTCTAAGGATTAGGATTTATGGTTTAGGGTTTGTGATTTAAGGTATAGGTTAAGGATTTAAG